ATTATCGGACATGCTCTATGCAAGCCATTCTAAAGAAGCCAGGGGGTGATTCTGCATGAGCCAAATAGCAGAGACAGGACCAATTGTCAAAATGTTGGTGTCGATCATTCGATTTCATCCTGGACACTACAGAAAATGGGCTAAAAGTGTTAAAAACCGGAATTTTCCTTTAAGCAATTAAAAAGTAAAATAACAAAACACAGTCATGACATTCAATTGAAATCTTGCAACATTTCCACTCAAATTTAATCTAAACTTTGCAGAATGTCTTAAAAATCTGCATGAGGATCTTACGTCCTCTGCCTTGATGCGTTCGCTGTCACTCATCCTCTCACCCTGCAGTCCTGCAATCTTTTGATACGCTTTTCTTTTGCTGATCTTATTTTTCCCAGTCTTATTCGCTTATTATTTTAAAGTTGGCATCATAACACCGCCTCTAATATCTGCAAACTTGTCTGACTTTTGATCCACTCCGTTTTGGGCAGTGACTCTCCATTTGTCTCCTCCTTCTCACTTCTTCTCTATTGTGATAGAAAGATGACCCCAACCACACTGAGGTCACTGGGTGTACAAAAAAAACAGCACCCTCTGCTGTCGCGTTCGTCTAACGACTCCAGACAACTGTCAGCCTGTGTAACTGGTTAGACCCCCATTATAAGACAACCTCGCATTTTATCATTGTTTTTAACGGAAAAAATACTCATCTTATATTTGGCCCAATACGCTATTTACAACCTTTGTTAAATACTTACCTGGTGGTTAGGGCATTGCGTTTGGAATCCACAGGTTGTGGGTTCAAGCCCCACTACAATAGTCTTCCACTCTGGCTCCCTAAAAAAAAAACTCTTAACCCCACACTGCTCCCCGGGCGCCGCACAATAACAGCCCACTTCTCCCCACAGGGGATGGGTCTGCAGCAGTTGAACCCAGAACCTCTGGCACCCAAGCACATTGCTTTAACCACTAGGCCACCCCTTCCCCTATTTACACCCCATTTCATTGTTTTAAATAAAAAAAAGTTGGTTCTATTGGTCTGAGAGTCCTTCAGTTGCCTTTTGACAAACTCCAGATAGGCTGCCATGTTCCTCTTTTTTAAAGTCTGGCTTTAATTTGGCCACTCTACCATGCTTGTGACAGAGAAGGTCATCTTTCTGGAAGGTCCCTCTCTATAGAGTGCTGCTCTGCTGTAGTGACCATGGGGTTCTTAGTCACTTCCCTCGCAACAACTTTAAGTACGAATTACTTAGCTCAGCTAGCCGTGTCATGATCTGGCCTGTTTGCTCTTCGTTAATTAGTAATTCCTTTCACCTGTCGTTTTCCCTCCCTGCCTCAATTATCATTTATTCCTCTCACCTGTTTCCTCTGGTTTTTATTCAGTTCAGCCTTAGCATTCAGGGCCAGATCATTACTTGTCTTTCTGTTAGTCTGTCCGTTCAGTTTTTGCCTTGGTGCATGTCCTGGATCCTGGCGACCAGTGGAAAGAGGGTTTTGTGTTTGTCACGTCTGCTGATCGTCCACTGTTTCTCCCCTGCTGAGTCCTCTGGGTTTTTGGCTCTGTTTTTTTTGGGAGGTTCAGTTTTTATCCAGTAAGCCTGGCTCCAAGGTGGAGACCAGTTTAAAGATCCTGCATCAAGTTCTGGTTCCACGTCCTGTCTCGGCTACCCTCTTCCACTGAGCCTGCCTGTCTGCACCTGGTCCTGTCTGCTCCTGTGCGTGACCACCTGGTCATGGTTCTGGTCCCAGTCAGACTCTGAACCCTCCTGGGAGCCTGTGGATGCCTGGAAGTCTGGATCCTGCCACCTGTTTATGTTCCTGCCTGATCTGGATCCTGTTCCTGTTCCTGTCTGTTCTGGATCCCTCACTAGGATCGGCTTCCAGCATGACCTATGGGACTGCAGCACTTGGGGACATTCATGGGCTGGACTGTTAAACCAGAATGTCTGAGATTGGGCGGTGCCCCGCCCCCCTCCTGCAGCGTCCGCGAGCCACAGCTCCGCTTTAGTTTTTGTTTTGTCAATAAACATTTTGAACTTTCCTACTGACTGTGTCTCCTTGAATACTGGGTCCATCTGTCCTCGTTTCATGACAAGCCGGACTGCTCTATAGATTCCAAAGATGTTCCATTTACCCATAATGGAAGCCACCGTGCTCACTGGGACATTTAATAGAGCAGAAGTGTTTTTGTGTCCTCCCCCATGTTTGCCTCAAGACAGTCCTGTATTTAATACCATGTGGAATGTGGAAAAGGCTCGGTGCTGTCAATACTTTCTAGTTGGGCTGTATTTTTCCCTCTGTTTCCTAATTGTAGACAATTGTTTTCCAGGTTCTGGGTTGCACTGGTTCCCAGTTTGTTGGACTGAGTGGGTCGTTTGTAGCTTCATTTTGCAGAGGCCTCCGGCTGCTTTCTTTACACACTTGCTAAATATCCTGCATGGCTGTAAGACATTATCAGCCTGGAAAATGGGCTCAGAGAGCTGCAGACAGCTTCCAGACAGAGCTGTGTAGATCTCCTCCAGGGTCTGCATTCACACCTTATGTTTACACTGAATTAAATGGACCCGTCTCCTTATTTATCTCTTTGTGGTTCTGTTTTACCAATTAATTTGAATTACTTTTTAGTTTCTATCCTGACAGTTAATTTAACCACTGTCTGGTACACAGTAGTAGGATGGGTGGAGATTCGTCTGGAGAAATCTCTATTTCAAAAAACTCACCAAAGCCACAGAAGAGTTATTTTCCTGAATAGAAATTAAACTGGGTCTTAATGGCTTTGAAAGTGTTCTTAGCTGCCATAATTGATATTGGGCCAGTCCTTAGCTCGCCCAATATCAATTAATCCTTTGCTTGGATCTAGTCTGTATCAAACCTGGACTCCTTTTCCTCTGAACCACTGAGACGGCAGCTTGGTGAACAGAATGATTAACTTTCCTAGTTTTACTCAGAGCTTCATTAGCGTTCAGACTGTTTATATTGAGCTAAAGGAGGAACCAGGAGGAGGTTTTGGGTTTAAACCTTCAGAACCTGTCTGCTCCCTTTCAACAGGACGTCACCAACACTCCACTCAGATTCTTTATTGTGGTGATGCCAACCTTGAAGATATCAGTTCCAGTTTGATGTCTTTTTACAGGAGAAATGCAGATGAACGGTGGATGTTTTCCACTGTGAGGCTAATAATCCCAGATGATGATGAGGAGGAGGGAGTTCTGGTCTGAATGAGGAGATTAACCACAGGAGAGACGGCAAAGACCATGAAAGCCTCAGCTTGGCCAGAGTGGAACAAAGTCTGCCTCAGTACAGCGTAACACTATATTCAGCTCTGGGCCACGTGCCTTCACTCCTGCTTATAAACACACATGCTTCTCCAAAGGCAGTGTTACTGAGCTGCTATGACTTACAGCGTGTTTCATCTGGAACTCAGCGTTGGTCTGCAGCTCCGTCCCTTATTAAGGGACTGTTTGGAAAAGAACAAGCAGAGAAAAATGGGACTCTGAGCTGTTTGTCTGCAGAGCAACACAGCTGGTTGAGGATGCTGTGGAAAGTATTAGGCAGGCTGTTATTTAGAGTCTCTCACTCCATCATTTTACTCTGCTTCATTCGTTCTGCATCAAATCTTTGGCTTTATTACTGATTAGAAGGTAATGAAGTCAGAAGAGTTCAACCAGATTTCATCTAATATTAGCTTATGTCTTGGAGTCAGTTTTAATGCTTTTTATATTGTTATTAAAAGTGCTATATTAGCTATCTCTCTGACAGAAGTGCTGCATTATCGCAAAGTCATCTTACAAATAAGTTTCAAACACTAATCCGGGAAATAATGTTGGGTTGAGTTTTGTTTTACTCCTATGCCTTGCAGAATCTTAAAAAAAACAAAAAACATTTCTTTTAGTTAGACAGAGACCAGGAATAAAAGGACTTAATTTAGTGACAGATTTTATGTTTTGTTTTCAGATTTCAGAAATATTCACACGTAAAACCCTTAAAAAAGGGATGAATAATTGTGATTCTCCCTGAGTCAAAGCTTTGTAGGAGGACCTCTCACTGCGGCTCAAAGTGTAAGGGTTTTGGTTTGACCCTCCACCATTTTTTTTCAACTTCAATTTCTACTTTGAGTTGTTCTACCACTAAATCTTAACCAAATAAATATAAGTTTGAGTTGAAACCTGAACAAATTATTTAAAAAGTTTCCCCACTTCAAAGGGATAGACATCCACAAATCATTATTTCAGGTAGATTTCAATCGATGGCCAAACATCTTTAATTTTTTTCTTTCATCGATTATCTGCGACCACAAACAAAGAGTCATTTTCTGGTTGTGACAACTTTTACAAGTAAAATTCTTAGTGCTATTAGCAGCGTTTTAAACAGCGACTCTGGAAATGATGGTTTTCCCTTCTGTCTGTGCTTTAATCCTGTCCTCCAGCTGGCTTCAGGAGAAGCTTCCGGCTAAGCAGGAGAGACAGGAAGACCAACAAGTCCATGTATGAGTCCAAGAAGAGCCAAATATACGACATGGCTGACGTCCCCACGTACGAGGAGGTGGCCCCCTACTGCAGGCAGAGAGGAGCTAAACACAGGCTGGTGGTCCTAGTGGGTGAGTAAAGAGCCTGATCTTGACCTGTGATGTCACTGCTCGCCTCACATTCGGCTGCTGGTAGATTTGGTTGTGTAGATGGATTTGTTGTGCACTTGTATGCAGAGGGAAATTACTTTTGTTTTCCTGTGAACATGCCCAGATGGTGTGCTGGGCCAACAGATGAAACTGTGATGAAATTATGGTCAATTTTGGTCAAACAGTAAACTCTACACACATATGAAATTAATTCACAACTGACGCACTGGTCCCTGATAGGGGTGTAAATAATAATCGTTTTGTATCTATGCATCGATCCAACAGCAGACGATCCGATGCGTCGATACGTCTGCAAGAGAATC